ATATCTAAATTAAATTTACTAATATTAAATTAGAAGTAATATGTTCTGGAATTATCAGTATTTCATCAATTGCTTTGCCAAAATAAATTGAGGCTTCTTCAAATTTATTTGAACTAACTATGATCATTATTTTTTTCACCTAGCAAAATGCGTCAGCTGCTGTTTAATTTACCAAAACTATTTTATACAAACAATAGCCATATTCTTCATTTGTAAAATGTTTGTATTCTTCTTTCATCTGAACTTTCATTAGTAAACTAAATAACAAATTGAATCTCTTTCCCTTCAAAAGTTTCTTTTTATTATTAATTAACTTATATTCTCAATCCTCATTATTTGTAAACCCGAATAAAATAATTTATATATTAGTGATGTTTATCTAACTATGATCTACACAATCCAGAGCCTTCATAAGCTATGCTGGAAATCACAGATATGATAATTAAATTTCTTGATAAATAAATTATTTGATAACTCTGTCATATGCATATTTATCATTCGAAGAATGTACAAAGCTAAATTTTAAATAGTTAATAACTGGCGAATTTCTTTTGTTTTAAATTGAAGTATCCTGCATTACTACTCTGAAGTAAACTTTAACAAAAATTGCTACTCTCAATAATTAATTGCAATTATTAAATGAATATTTCAATGTATATATTTTCCAATAATATTTATAAACCTTTTTTATTTACACTTTAGAAAGTATTAGTTTATTTAAGGGTAATTATATTGTATTTATTAACAATTTTATGTAGAATTGTTTTTAAGTAGTAATGGTTTCAAATTGAAATTGCTAGAAATTTACAATAGTATTGATTCCCTAAAATTTTTCTTGGTGAACTTTTTTTTAAGTATAAAATAATATAATTTTCAATGAAAAATATTAACCTGAAAAATATATTTAAATTTAAAATAAATCTTAATATTGATATATTTAGAGTATTCATTCAGCAACTCTATTAATTTATTTTGCCATATTTCTCTTTTTTTGGCATTTATTGATATAAATTATTATAAAAAAAGTATTAAGCAATAATTAAATTACAATAGTACTTTTTAAATTAAATTTGCTCTTATTAATTGTTATAGGTATTACATATGAAGTTCACTTGATGATATAGAATTTTCTGCCTATAAGACAATGTAATATTGACTTTCAT